GGTATGTATGCTCTCCCTGTCCCGGCTCTCCCTTCTAGCTGTTGGTGTCGGTATCTACGCTCTCCCTGTCCCCCTGAGTGAGGGAGAAGACAATGTGATTGGGCTTAACTCAGGTCAAGTAAATGGGATGAAAAACAGGACCCATTAGCACGCCAATGCTGGTCACCCAAGGCAGAGGGAGGGGGAGCTCCAGCTCTGATGTAATGTCAGACCTTGACCCCAGGAGCCTGGCTTCCCTGCCCACTGTCATCCTGGCACCCACCCCAGTCAAGGCCTCAGAGGACTGGGTGGGGGGGAGAGGGTGTGGGTGTGGACAACCAGAGAGGTGGGCCCGGAGGACCGTATGTGGGCAGTGGCCTGAGCAGGAGTCGGGACAGAGGGGGCAGGCAGGTGCTCCGGCTCTGCTCCAGCTGCAGACTTGCCCAGCAGGGCTCTGCCTGGGGAGGCGGGAGATGGTTGCGTCCCCAAGCTTCCTGCTGAGGCACTGCTCCTGAAAGGGGATCCGAGCCCATGATAAGAGGCTCGAGGCAGGTCCTTAGGAAACAATGGGTGGCTTGATGAGACCTGCTCTGTGATACTCCTGAGAAGGGAGAAGCCCCTGCAGCCAGTCCCCACTGGAAAGGAAATTGGGGGTTTCCATGGCAACCAGCTCCCTGGGCACAAAGACTCATCTGTCTGCTGGGAAGGCAGCTGAGGTGTCTCCCCTGCAGCAGCCTTTGCTCTCGTGAACCAGGGAGATGGAGGGAGGGATGGGATACTGGGGGTAAGGGCCCCAGGTGGTTCTTAAAGAGCTGACAGCACGGGACCACTGGATAGGCATGTGCTCCAGGCAGTAACGGGAAGAGGGGGTCACAGACAGCTGGACGGGAAAGGGCTGAAAGGCTGAATACTTTATTATTTACACATATCAAAGAATGGGAGAGGAGACACTGAGGACAGGGTAGGGGCAGGAAGGTGACTCCGGCTCAGTCGGTGATGATGAGCTCGTCCACCCCCCAGTCTTCATAGCTCCCGTCTGGCAGGTAGCGGCGGATGATGATGGGGATCTTTCGGGCCCTGTGGCGGGGGAGAAGTCACAGTACATGAGGCTGGTGACCCCAGCTCTGCAGCAGAAGGGACAGATTGTGTGGGGAATGGGAGAAAAGAGAAGTCTAAGGAACATCCTTGAATTACAATAAAAAGGAAGTCCCTGCACCCCTGAGTGTGGGAGAGTGAGTCTGCAAGGCTGCCATCCTGTGGCAGCTGGAAGAGGGGGCTTCTGGTAAGGGCCCCTGCAGCAGGGAATAGGTACCTCTGATAGCCAGGGAAGGGCCATGTCTCAGCAGCACTGCCCCTGTGCCTGCCCCTCTCCCTCTCCTTCCATAGGCTGATCCTGAATGAACTAAGGATCTATGGAACAAGCACCCCATTTCCCCGGCCAATACGTGGAGTGGGGGGCAGAGAACCCCAGAGACGCCTCTCAGGGCTCTAGAGCAGTGAACCACCACTGGGAGACTTACTTGAG